TAAAGTGGAAAAAAAGACAACTGTGCAACAAAGTAAAGCTTTTTCAGGTCAAAGGAAGGAAAATTTCAATGCAAAGCCTATTCCACTGCAAACAGTTCGCCCTATGGTAGTTGATGAGATCATACTTGACAGTTTACCAGAAGGAGTACGACTTCCAGCAAATGGTGTGCGACCGTCTGGAGGCGGATTTGTATTGGTAGGAGACTATTCGACTTCCCAATTTTACCCCCTTAATTGGTCAGAAGTTGTACCGAGAGGAAAAAATGGATATATTCCAGGATGAAATGATAATAGATGACAAGATTAGTGAAATGATACGGTGGGCCGAAAGTAACCGTGGACCACAGCAACCAAAACTTCCGTTAATCAGATTGAAAGTTACCTATGCTGGACCTTGGGCAATTATGCAGGTAAGAATTCCTTTCTCTTAATTGATACCATGTTCCGAATATTGCTGTTTAGCCTATTCATGGCCGTCAAATTGGAGCCAAGTTTGAGGATCGGGCAGCAAATGCTGCGGAGATGGTGGTAACAAGGAGGGTAAGGTTTACTGTGGTGTTTCTTTCAAAGTAGTTGTTAACTTGCTTTCAAGCGCATTTGATGTATAGCATGGGATACGAGATTTTACTATTAAATTTGAGGTGATCGAGAAAAAGAAGAAGAAAGGAGGTGTAAGTATGGAAGAGGACCAGGGCGATATTATTGATGCCGCATGCCTTGATCAAGTGGTAGGTTTTCTCAGAATTCAGTCATAGCAATTGTGTTTTCTACTACTTCTATCTAGGCTGCTTCCACTGCATAGACCTACCCTTACCGTGTGTACTTTGGTCTCTGATATGAACTATGTACGGATATCAATTGCACGGGCATTTATTTCACGCCTTCGCATTCGATATCCATTTTCTTTTCTGGAACAAGATGGTCCGAAGCGTGGAAACAGCCTGAGGAATTTAGTGGGTAATTGCAGCATTATATTCTAGATATCTGAACATTTCAATAAACAACCGTGGGAGGAACGTCTGACCGTATTCACCCATCCCATAATTGGAAAAGCATTGGCAGCATTTGATGACGAAGAAAAAACCAACACAGCGAAAGCGAACCAAGAGTTCCGAACTGCTCTGGAGGTCTGTTTGTGGCACAATTCAGCAGTTCTCAGTTTCCAAAACCTTTGCTGATTTTTATTTCCATTGCCAGGACACCTTCCACACATTACTATTCTACTTTAAAGGACAAATTCACGATTAGAATGAAAGTCGAAGAAGGAGTAATCCCCCTAGTTGAGGGACCCGCGGACCTCCTAAGGGTGCGGACTGAAGCGCGATTGGCACCAAGGAGTTGACCTCGGCGACTTATTAAGGCTCAATCTTGGCGCGGTGGGCCAGTGCACGCCCACCAACCAGCTGATCACTCGCCGTAGGTCTATGCGTGGCGATTGATCAGATAGCGGAGAGAGCGTAGTGTTGAAGAGGGCACAGCGATGAGAGTCGCATCAATGCTCGAATCAACGGGCAAGGAAGGGGTCCCATTTCTCGGGTTCTGGGCCGTTTCTCATGGTTCTTCCTTCTTTCGTGTACCACTCACCATCCCTAGGTTAATTTGAAATGGGTTGCTTTTTCATCGTGAATTCGTCCTTTAATATGCCGCAACTTCATCATCAACTTTTTTCGCCCGATTTGGCTCTAGTAGGCTTCGGAATCGGGAAGATATTCGGACTTTTTGTTCTGGAACTGAACTAGTGGACCAAAAGCAGGCCGAAATATCCTATACTCTGGCAATGGAATAGTGATGAGAACTCGAGAGTGCCATTTTGTTCTATTGGGTGGGATATCGGGATTTGATTCTTGGGCAGGTCTCTTGTTAAGCGGCGCCATTTGCCTGTACACGACCTCGGTCCAACCGTCAGCATTTTTTATATTGCCAGAAGTACGAGTCGGCTTCTTTGCGACTATATTGCGCCTAGGTCTGCATCAACACCTTGCATAATGACAAATCAACCACCTGTTCTTGATTTAAGGCAGCACGTGATTCAATGATGTCCAAGCTGAAGCAGATGCCGGCTCCGGAAATAGAGTTTGATGTGAGTTATCTAAATTACTTACCGGTACCCAGGGGAGCTGACAAAGTTTGGTGTTCCAGAAGTTCGGCAATCTGAAATCCGACAATTTTGAAATGATGGTTCGAAATGATCTCAATGTTCTCAAGCGTCAAACCTATGGTATCCAAGGAGGAACTGTGACACGTAGTGATGAGTTTGATGATGAAATGGAAGATGGCGATTGATTATATTATCATGTTGTTTTGTTTACCGGTACCTCTTTACTCCACTGGTTGTTCTGGTTCTTTATTGTAAAATCATGACCTCAATTTCGATTTCATCTGTTGGGCTGAAAACCCTGGAGTGACTGCTTGAGCTCCTGCCTGCAGAATTCAGGAGCATAGACTAGTTCAGCGATTTGTTGTGCATAGATCTCGAAAACCGGTTTTCAGATGCTCTTATGTTAAAGTGGTTGCTATTCTCAGATTTTTGCAATTTGTTATGTTTTTGTTGATCTGAATTGTTGTATTTAGTGAAGATTATTTTGTTTTCGTTCTCATCAAAAGAAATAAGTATGTTATGGATCGGATCCTACTCGCTAATCAGTGTCAATACACTTGAAAACAAAACTGTCACGACTTGATTGTTTTTAACCTGGGATTTTTGATCACATACAGAGTTGGGCACGACGACGGTGCCAGATGAGTGTCAAGAAGCGTGCATATACTCTGGGAGTGGGTGATAGAGGATAAAGGACACAGCAGGGTGAATATCGGTCGAGAATTCCTCAACGGCTTGTCGAGGATTTT